TATAATTAAATAATTACATTAACTTCATCTAAATGATGAGAAGAAGATTCGAATTTAAATTTAGGCTGCATAGCACAATGCTACTGCCAATTTAGCTAAATCCAAGCCTGCTTACTATAGGACTTTCTAGGGGTGGTTCAGTATGGGATCCCAAATCGAAAATGGGATTTCGAATTCCAAATCAAAAATTTTTGGGATGGGAATTTGAAGACCAATTCCAAACCAAAATTTCGGTATTCTCAATTTTCGAGATTTTTGAAATATTTTCGGTATTTCGGGATGGTTTGGTATTCCCAAATTTCATACAAATTGAAATAGCAACCATTCATACCAAGTTAAATTAACATGAAACCAAAATAAAATAAGTAACAAATCCAAAAGCTAAAAAATAAGTTACAAACCTAATATGTTCGAAAACTAACAATACAATTTTTTGATTTCCTGTTTAAAAAATAGACACATTTGTGGGAGGTTCGTACCGGCATATGTGGCAATAAAGGGCTATGGTTACTGCCTGTAGACCACACCAATTATATTGCTACAAGTAGTTAGCAACATTTCAAATGTATAATAATATACATATATATATATATATATATAACATTTATTTTCGGTTCGATATAGGATTACCGAAGAATTGAGTAGACAATACCAAATCTCATACCAAAATGTTGGGATTGGTTGAGTATTTCATCTTGAAAATTTCAGGAATTTTGATTTGAAATTTTTTAAATTTGGGATCGGAATTCTTTTTGGTTTGGTTTGGAAATTTCGAAATTTTTTTCCAGCCCTAGGACTTTCTTGGTTATTTGTTTTGTGTCCAGTTTGTCCAATTTGATATTTTAATTTAGGATGAGTTTGTTTCAACTTATGCAAGAAGATATTTCTGGTGGAAATATTTATCTATCTATATATCTATGTACTATTCTAAAGAGAAGGCTCTTTGTCAGCTATTTTGACAATTTGTGCCTTGTACTCTCCGGGCTACTTCTTTTTTCTTCAATTTTTTTTATATATTTTTAACAAAAAGTAAGTAGTAAATTGTCTTAGTAGTTAACCTTTCTTTTCAATTAAGTGTGTTCTAGTTTCAAACCCTCCCTTTCTCTTTAGTGTAGAATATTACTTATAATTAACAAATAAAAAAAAATCCTCCAACAAAAATATTTCAAATTCATAGCATGTGCCATATTGCTAGTTATTAACAAAGAAAAGGTTATTTGGTTTTCATGAAATAATTTGTAAAAAGAGATATATGTGGACCTCTCATTAATGTTGCTACTAGCACTACAGTCTTGTGTAATAGTATTCTTTATTTGTAGATGAGAGTTCTTAGGTTCAAACTCTTATAGGGAATTCGATACCAAATTATTGATAGCATATAACGTGGTTTAGTGTAACCCCATCCCTAATATCCTTGGTTGGCGAGTAGAGTGAATGAGGTGGTGGTGTCGAACACGCTGCTGACTTCTATATATGAGTAATCACAACCGAGAAAGGAACTCGTCTCGCCTTTGGATTTTAGAGCCTGAAGACAATGCTGCTAGTCATTGCGAAGTTCAGGATCCCCTGCACCAAGTTTGGTTGCCTTAATTATATTTGTGAAAATATAAGTGCACCGAATCGGTATCAAACTATAAGGACACAAATACTCGAAAGAGATAAGTGTCTTGATGGTGAATGTTGCTCAGCCGTCAAAATGCCGAACTCTGAAGTGTACTTGAGAATATCCAATTATGAAAATGCGTTGAACACTAAGTGACCTGGTAACACTTCACTTCACCGAGAGGCTAATGAGATGACCTCTTTCAACGAGAAGACCAAAGACTTCTTGCCAACAAAGACTTGGATAGATAGCCAAACGAACTTGAAGCAGTGCTGTTACTCCAAACTGAAGATGGTCTTTGGTCACCTAACTCTAAGGTTCTAGTTATGTTAATCCAAAGTGAAGATGTCGTTGGTTGCCAACACACAATTGTTAATCTAAACTGAAGGTGTGTTAACGAAGTTAGGGAATTTAGTGTTTTCTCAAAGGTTTGAGAGGATTTTGCATAGAACGAGAATTTGCACATGGCAATTTTGTGTGTTGAGTTGAAGGTCCTTTAAATGTTATAGAACCACTTCTATTTTATAAAGTTAAATCCTATGTTGATCACTCACGCCGAAGTAGAATCCTACCTAAACTGTAACTCCTTGGTGTCTCCTGATCCAATCTCTTATCAGATAATCCTAATCCATGCATAGCCTTCGGTCACTCCTACTAGAATTTGGATTTTGAACCCAATCCTTTTTTTTTTTCTGCATTTGATTACCTCCCAATCTGATCAAACATGAACCTTGATTCTCGGAATATTACGAATCTTCTCAAAGCTCATCTTGATCCTTAACAATTTTACCTATATTAGGATTTGACCGAATCACTCTTAAACCTGACCCCTTAAGAGTCATTCTTTTCCTAGGACTCGGCCATAGCTCAATGGACTGGACTTGATCCAATTTAGAAGAATAAGAATTGGGCCGAGAATCTCCAACTCATATCAAGCTAGCAACCTTACTTGGCCCAGGCCCAATATTTGGGCTCAAACACCTTGTATAAAAGAAATTATATCTCAAGGATAAACTCTGAAACGAATAGAAAAAGGTTTAAAGGATAAAAAATATTGATGTCTAGATGTGTACATACCATATAATGATTTGGATAGCAATTGAAAAAGTAATTAACTTATAAAGGTTTTTTTTTTGTCACAAATAGTCCCTGAAAATGACCCTCACTATCAAGATGGTCCCTGAAATTGAAAATCAATCAATGTAGTCCCTGAAAATAGGTGTCGCAAATTAATGTGGTCATTCCGTCACAATTATGTTAAAAATTCCATTAAGTGTTGACGTGGCACATAAATGGCCCTTGTAATTTATAGGTTTTTATAAAAAAAAATGGTCCTTGAAATTGACTCACACCATCAAGATGGTCCATGAAATTGACCCACACCCTCAAGATGGTCCCTAAAGTTAAAAATCGATGAATGGAGTCCTTGAAAATAGGTGTCATAAATCAATATGATCATTCTACCACAATTTTGTAAAAAAATTTGTTATGTGCTAATGTGGGTTTAATAATTAATTTAAAAAGTTGTCTAAATACCTTTTTGCACAATGAAATTTTTTTCATATAGGAGGACCTGCTCCGAAGAGAGATCCCTTCTATAATTCTCAAAGGCACAAGGCTTAGCCAAGGCCTAAGAGGGGGTTTGGAAATAGTTTTCAACTAACAATAGACGCACCTCAGTTATAACCTCATTATCTCAAGGCAGACATCCTTATTCTTTGAGTCACTAGACCACCAGGGAAGCGCCAAACAAGCTCTCCAAGATTAAGGTTGTGAGGATGTTGATCGCCTAAATGTTAATGGTGATGTTCTAGAAGTCGTTGCCAATCAGCCAAGCCGTCAAGAAAGGTGATTTCAATCCAGGTTCAATTCGGTGAAGGGTGTCGAAATGTGTAAAAATGGATGTATTGAGATTTTTTTTTTTGAGAATAGACAGCGAAGGAGGTAGAGGAATGTGGATTGATATCGAAGGTGATTGTAGGACTGGTCAGCCAAGCTGTCATCAAAGGTGATTTCAATCCAGGTTCAATTCGGTAAAGGGTATCGAAATGTGTAAAGATGGATGTATTGAGATTTTTTTTAGAGAATAGACAACGAAGGAGGCAGAGGAATGTGGATTGGTATTGAAGGTGATTGTAGGACTGGGTTTTTTGGTTCACAACTTTTTATTAACTATTAAATTATTAAAACAATTTGTAATTTTTTAAATTTAATTAGACTTGTGTGATCCATTTATGTGTCACATCAGCACATAATAGAATTTTTGATAGAATTGTGACGGAAGGACTACATTGATTTGGGATACTTACTTGCATGACTACATTGATCGATTTTCAATTTCAGGGACCACTTTGATGTTACAGGTCAATTTCAGGGATCATTTTGATGTCGCGGGTCAATTTCAAGGACCATTTGTGTGAAAAAAAAAAGATTTATAAGATCCATTTATGTCCCACATCAGCACTTAACGGAGTTTTTAACATAATTGTGACGGAATGACCACATTAATTTGCAACACCTATTTTCAATGACTACATTGATTGATTTTCAATTTCAGGGACCATCTTGATGGTGAGGGTCAATTTTAGGGACCATTTGTGATAAAAAGCCATTTATAAATTAGAGAACGTGAAAATATAGTTGGCTATTGCTTGACTCCTAACATGCAAGTAGCGATTCCGTTTTACATGATTACGTAACATCATATCACCATACAAATATCATAATTCAAACCATTTATATTCTCTCCCATTACATGAAGATCATATTTAGAAAATTTCATTTGATTTGAAGACTGTTTACTCATCCATTTCAATCAAACAAGCCATACGAATATCATAATTCAAACCGTTTATATTCCCTCTCATTATATGAAGATCATATTTAGAAAATTTCATTTGATTTTAAGACCGTTTACTCATCCATTTTAATTAAACAAGTTGACGGTTAAGCATGTGAATATTACTTGTATTTATAACTGTCGATTTGTTCAACGCATATGGATGACTAAATAGTCTTGTATTAAATACTTGAATAATAACATTTGTACTATGAAATAGTACTATGTGTAATCATGTAAAGCGAAATTGCTATTTACAAGATCCAATGTTAGGAGAGATCTTTTAATGTGTTTGGAACAAGGAGCGGTACGTCATATTATTACACAATAGGGAAATGGTTTTTTTTCAAGTGCCCCTCCACAAGTTAATAACATATGAATGTATATACCTAATATTCTTTTTTTTCAAGTGCCCCTCCACAAGTTAATAACGTATGAATGTATATACCTAGTATTCTAGACACATGTTAAGAGTCAAGCATTATCCATTATGATTAACTATCTTTTACCTTTTTCTCACATCTCTTTTTTTTTGGTGAAGAAAATGGTAGTAGTGGGCTACCAGTCCGAGCCGGTCGCTGTTTTTACGGAAAGCTCTCCCCAAGAGGTTTTTTTACAAGCGGATGATTTTTTCTCACATCTATTTTTCAATCACAAAACCCAATGGAAAGAATTAAAAGCAGCCATGATCCTGTCACAAATAGTGGTGGTACCAGACACTCCTTCGTTAGCCTTTCCTTTCATTTTTCTTTTGAATCTTTTATGTCTCGTTTGAACTGGCAAAGCAGATAAACAAGGCAAGCTTGAAGGTTTTCTGTCTTAACCCTCTACCTCTTTCCTTTCTCATAAGATGCAGTTTTTAAAAGGTACTAAATTCATTTCTCTTCCTTCCTTACCTTCCTCTCATTCTCAGCCTCTCAAGTTTTTCCCATTTGCAAAATTCGAACACGCAAACACAGTTCAAATAGCGAAACCAAACCAGACAGATCCATTTCTCCATACCCTTTAGATCCCCCCCCCCTCCCAACATCTCTCTCTCTCTCTCTCTCTCTCTCTCTCTCTCTCTCAAGTAGTGACTGCTGCAGGGTTTAATTTCTTGGCTTAGAAACTTAGAATTGTTGTTTACACAATGAGAGACAAAGTTGCTTGTTTCAATGAAAATGCAGTAAATGTGTCTCATCCTTCATGTTCTAGCTATGCAAACACTTCTTGTGTTTCTCCAAACTTAACTCCTTCAGTCCAAAATGCAGTCTCATGCTTCTACAAAATCACTCTCTCCTCCACTCAAAAGCAGCTTTTGGTCACAGTCTCCTGGTGCAAAAACCACTACGCACAAGGCTTGACCATTAAGCTTTCTGACGATCCCTCAGCAGCATCCTTCAAGTTGAACACAAATTCGGGTATCTTCAGAAAGAAGAAAGGCACCAAAGTCATCGAATCTGATAATTTGAAGACAGAAATCTTTTGGGATCTCTCTAGAGCAAAGTATGATGTTAGTGGTCCTGAACCTGTTGAGGGTTTTTACATTTTGGTCATGATTGATTCAGAAATAGGCCTAGTTCTTGGTGACATGGCCGGAGAAGCTGTAAGCAAGAAGTTCAAGACCAGCGGTGTTGCGAAAGCCTCTCTTGTTTCGAGGCAAGAGCATTGTTCCGGAAATGCTCTTTATTCCACCCGAGCTCAATTCAGTGACACAGGCATTGAACATGACATTTTGATAAAATATAGTGGGGAAAATGAAGGCTTAAAACATCCGGTTTTATCCGTTTGCATCGATAAAAAGACGGTCATTCGAGTAAAGAGGCTGAAGTGGAATTTTAGAGGGAATCAGACAATTTTTGTTGATGGGTTGCTTGTTGATCTGATGTGGGATGTTCATAACTGGTTCTTCAATCCTTCATCAAGGTATGCAGTGTTCATGTTCAGAACAAGACGTGGGACGGATAGCAGATTGTGGTTGGAAGAGAAGATGGTGCACAAGGAGCACGACAAAGTTGAATTCTCCTTGTTGATGTATGCCTGTAAGATCTCATAAATCATAATATCAAATTTTGTCGTTAATTATTTTTCTTTTTTGTTTGTTAATCCTTGACATTTATGATTTATTACAACTATTCTTCTAATTTTCCTTTCAAGAGAGGAATAGATTAGTCATTCATTTTCATCATTTTTAAGAAAACAAAATAAATTAATGCTTAAGGTATGCGATTGTAGATAGATGAATTTGACAAGTTTATATGTATATATATCTCTCAATAATGCATGCAATTGAAACTTTGCAAACTAGAAAATGGTATGCGATTTTTCTTCAATACCTACAAGTATTAAGTGTCGTTGCATGATTGATCTAACAGTAATTGGTCATCAATTTTAAGTCATTAGATCACATTCAATGGTTAATTGTGCAATGACACTAAATGCTTGTTTGTACGGAAGAAAAATCTGTTGAAAAGTGGTAATAAGTTAATTAGTTATGATAAAGGGGTGACTGTATAAGGTTTGAATAAGTTAACAAAAGGGCAAAAGGAAAGATAGCAAGAGATATGACTGAAGATTTGCTGAAAGGCAAGTGGGAATTTTGAGAATCATGTATAATTGCTTTTAGGCTTGTAGGAATCAAATAAAGTTGAGAATTCTCCCACATAATAATTAGTCTCATTTGAGAAGTACATCTTTCAAACAAGGGAAATAGATGATTGATTAGTATGTAGTTTATAATATGATTGTGCAAGTTTAATGCTTACTGTTATTGTTTATTTGGTAGCAAAACTAATGGAAATTTCACTTCTTTTTCCAGTTTTTTATGAAAACAAAGAAATTAACACTACTTGCTTCCTTTGTCTAGTATTTAAATTTTAATTTAATACATCATATTTTTCCACCTTGTTAGTACCTTGGCCTTGACTTGTCAGGAAAAATTGGACAGATCCAATTTAGTCCAAGAAGCCAACTCTATCAGGCTTGTCTTGAACGATATAGGTTGTGATTCTGAGGAAGTGAGTTAGGCTAACAGAACAGTTAAAGGAAAATTGTTTTGTATTTGCTTTTTCAGCAATTAGCAACAACAATTCAACTGAATTACTTATTATAGAGATAGAAAAAGTCTTTGGGGGCAAGTTGTTCATGGTTTTACCAAGAACAAACGCGAAAGAGAATTGTCCATGACCATTTGATGCAGTGACAATCAATCTTCGTCATTGAATGATGTGAATTTCAAATATTTCAGACAATAATTGTTGAGGTATAAATATCAAAATAGAACAATTCAGCTTTGCTAAGAACAAATGCACAACAAGTATACCAAGTCAATTTTGAAATGGCTACCAAACTGAGGATACTGCCAAAACCAAATTATGGAAAGTATTTGGGTGGTGTCCTTTCATCTCAGACCCACTGTGAGTACAAATCCATGGTCCCCTTTTGTCTTTAAACCAATTGTTAGGGTCACAGTTTAATCTCTTAATATTGAACTTTTTAGTTTCAACTATTTGTATAATTCATCATAAGAAACCAAGTACAAGGGAGAAGCTCTTATAGAGAGCTTGAGAGTGACTTAAAGGCTAAAAAGACAAAACCTAATAATAGGCCATATAAAGAACCAAAAAGTATAAGCTAGCTAACGTGCAGCAAATGTATAATTACAAGTTTTAAGGGAGACATAAGACCATGGATTAAGGAGCAAATTAAGGAACAAAGGAAAAGTGGCGCTAAATCACTTCCATCACGTCAAGTACATCACTTCCAATACTCCCCCTCAAGCTGGATCAAGAGGGTTAATTGATCCAAGCTTGCACAACAACCGTTGAAATTGGGTAGAGTCTAGAGCTTTCGTGAAGAGATCAGCAAGTTGATCATGGCTTCTAGTGTATACAATGTTGATGACATTGGATTGAACTTGTGATGTAATGACAATCAACTTCAATGTGCTTCGTCCTTTCATGAAATACTGGATTAGAAGCAATATGCATTGCGGCCTGGTTGTCACAAAACAATGACATTGGTTCCTTGCTGGTGAAGCCAAGATCAAATAGAAGACTCTTCAACCATATAAGTTCACAAGCTACTGCTGCCATGGCCCTATATTCAACTTCAGCACTAGATCTTGCAACCACGGTTTGTTTCTTACTCTTCCAGGTGACCAGATTACCTCCAACAAAAGTATAAAAACCTATGGTGGACTTTCGATCAAGGGCATTACCAGCCCAATCAGCATCAGTGTAGGCCATGGTGTGAATGTACCCATTTTTCTTCATGAGTATGCCTCTACCAACTGAACCTTTGAGATATCTAAGTATTCTCTTGACAATCTCCCAATGAACCAATGTAGAAGAGTGCATAAACTGGCTGACAAGGCTCACTGAGTAAGCAATGTCAGGTCGAGTAATCGTGAGGTAAATAAGTTTTCCAACCATGCGCTGATAAAAACCAGGATTGGAGAGAGGCTCACCTTTGGCATCCAACTGAAGTTTGCTAACAAGGGGAGTGCGAGCAGGTTTGCACTCAAGCATGTGTGCTTCATCAAGAAGATCAACTACATACTTTCTTTGATTTAAGAATAAACCCTTGGAAGAAGTGGCCATCTCAATGCCAAGAAAGTATTTCAAGACTCCTAAGTCTTTAATGGCAAATTGTTGGTGTAGGGAGCACTTAAGAGCATTGATTTCATTCACATTGTCCCCCATAATTATAAGATCATCAACATATATAAGTACAACGAGCTTGCCTAGGACACCACTGCGAACAAATAAGGAGGAGTCATCATGACTTCTTTTGAACCCTGCAACTTCAAGAAATGAGCTCAGTTTGGAATACCAAGCTCGAGGGGATTGTTTGAGTCCATAAACAGCCTTATGGAGCTTGCAAACTTTGTTAGGTTCACTTTCTCGTAGGTGTCCAAGAGATAGCTTCATGTACACATCTTCTTGAAGATCACCATGGAGGAAAACATTTTTTACATCCATTTGAAACAAGGGCCGCTCGTGATTGACTGCCACTGATAGCAACACCCTCACTGTGTTCATTTTGGCAACCGGGGCAAAAGTCTCCTTGTAATCAATACCGTAAGTTTGTGTGAAACCACAGGCTACCAATCGAGCCTTGTGTCTCTCAATGGTACCATTGGAATTGAATTTTGTCTTGTATATCCATCTATTCCCTACAACTTTCTTGCCTTTGGAAAGATCAACCACACTCCAAGTTTGATTTTCATCCAATGCTTTGAGCTCTTCATGCATGGCTTTTTGCCACACAGGTGTACACATGGCTTCTTGAAAACTTCTTTGCTCAAGATTGTTTGAAAATTGGTTTAGAAATAATGCATGGGAGGCTGACAATTTTTGGTAAGTAATAGCTTCAGAGATAGGGTACCTTGCAGAGTACGTAACGTACTCTTGTAACCTTAACGGGGGATGTTGATCTCGAGCAGGGTTCCTTCTTAGTGCTACTACTGATTGTGGAGTTGCAGCTTATGGTTGTGGTGTTGGAGCACTGGGTACTTCCTCACTAACCACTTCAGCGATGTTGGAATTAATGATAGGGTTTGGGAGGTTTGCATGAATTTCTCCAGGAGTAGGCAGTGGAAATGTGTCCATTAGACTCTCCCCCTGAGGATTATTCTTAGAATCCTTGTGAAAGAAATGAGTGACTTCATCAAACTGAATATCTCTAGAGACAACAAGCTTCCCAGTGTGTGAGTTATAACATTTGTATCCCTTTTGAGAACTAGAATACCCCATAAATGCACATTTCACAGCTCTAAGTTCTAGTTTATCACGATGAGTAGCTTGGATATGGAAATAACAAGTACATCCAAAGATCCTGAGATAAGTCAAATTGACAGTTCTTCCTTTCATGACTTCAAAAGGTGACTTAGCATTCAACACACGAGTTGGAAGTCTGTTAATGATGTATGTTGCAATGAGAAGTGCTTGGGACCAAAATCTCTTAGGAACTTGCATCTGAAACATAAGGGACCTTGTTTTCTCCAACAAATCCCTATTTTTTCGCTCGGCTACACAATTTTGTTGTGGTGTACCAACACAACTAGTTTGATGCAAGATGCCATGATTGCTCAAGTAATTGGACATGTTATTGGATGTATACTCAGTGCCATTATCTGACCTTAAAGTATATAATTTAGAGGTGAATTGATTGGTTATAAGTTTGTGAAAGTCTTTGAAAGCTTCAAAAAAATCACCTTTAAACTTTAAAAGATACAACCAGGAAACCCTAGAATAATCATCAATAAAAATGACATAATACTTGTATCCATCGAATGACTTAACACAAGAAGGTCCCCAAATATCTGAATGAACAACTTCAAAAAGCTTACTGGTTCTAGACTGAGAGGATACAAAAGGCATCCTAGTGGATTTTGACATTTGACAGATCTCGCACTCATGTGTGCTTTTACAAAAATTTGGAAATAACTTAGACATCACTGGTTCTGAGGGATGAGCAAGACGTTGGTGCCAAAGTTGGTACTCCTGGGCATGACTTAGGTTGGCAATGGGATCCTTAACAAGATTGAACTTCTTTGAGAGGTAGTATAGACCATTTAAGAAGAACCCTTCACCAATCTTCTTCTGAGTGATTCGATCATGAAACACAACGTTATGAGGAGAAAATATGGCAAGGCAGTCCAAAGTGTGCGTGATTTTTCCTATGGACAAAAGCTGGAATGGAAATGAAGGTACGTAAATGCAGTGGCCTCTACATCATTACCCATCAACCTAATTTTTCCTTTTCCTAGAACAGGTTCCCCTTTACCATTTGCTACAGATACATGAGTAGAATTAGATAATTTTTGAAACTCATGTAGACAAGATGTTTTATTAGTTATATGATCAGTGGCAACTGAGTCTACAATCCAAAAATCATGTGTGAGATGTGCATTGAGAGCAGTGGATAGTGCACTGATAATAACTAGGATATTGTTGTGTGTTGTGGTATCTGAACTTTCCACGAAGCCAGCGAATTTTCCAAGCATGGCAGTGGAGTTTTTAGTGATCATCTTTTCATTCTTAGTGGTCCCGTTGTTTCTTTGGAGAAAGGTAGCAAATTCATTAATCAAGAAAATCGGATTTGAAGTGAAGTTTGCCATCTCATCAGCTGAACACTTAGTTGCACGGAGGGA